TATATATATATATATATATATATAAACAGTCTTCAGGTTTAAAGTATGGCCATTATCACACTTATGACACACTTATCTCCAATTTGAATTTATACAGATTTTTAGTACAAATGCAGTGTTTTAAATGTGCACTGCAAATTAAATGTGAGGATGACACCACCTGTTAAGGAAGATGCTGCTGACATCATCGTGGCTGATGGGAGGTTTCTTGGAGCTGGCAGCCATGCGGAGCGGCCTGAGGAAGCAGTTCACCAGGATGGAGAGCTGGTGGACGTACTCGGTTTCTGCTTCCACCATGTTGAACACAATCTGGTTCCTCTTCCTCATGCTCTCAGCATGAGGAGAGCAGATGTAGTCCTGGACGATGATCTTCCACTTCCTCCGGCACAACCAGCCACGCAGGAAACTTTGCACCTGTAATGTCACAGAGCATTCGGTGCTCCCTATTCAGCGTGGCCTGCAAAGGTTAACCCCTCTCCACAATCCTTTGGTAATTTTTCTATGTTGTTGCCTTACAACCTGAAATTTTATTGGAATCTTAATTTGGTTCTGAGTAATAACTTTTCAAAAATGTTTCAGAATAATGAAGTTAATAGGGAAGAAATTTATTTTGTCATCTTTAAAAGAACAAAACAGAAGTTTTGTTTGAATATGCAGTCAGTGCATTGTAGAGAGACTATCGAGTCGATTATGTATCTTCAACTTGTAGAATACTATTTGTGAACTTGTATTTAACAATCAGAAGAGGTGTAAATGCTGTTTTGTATGTGTAATAGATAAAAAAATTACAATTACAAGTTCATGGTTACAAATCACAAATTCAGTTACAAATCACAAGTTCACTGTTACACATCACAAGTACAAAGTTACAAATTTCAAATCGTTTTACAAGTTACAAGTTTTGCTTGTTCCTTTCTGGGTTTCTCATGTTTTCTGTCTCTTTAAAATTTTGTATTCATCTGTCCTTGTCTAACTTTAGTTTAGTTTTCAAAGCAGTCTGTTGGGGGATGGCAGTGGTGCAGTGGTAGGGCAGCCGACTTTGGACCCCAAAGTCACAGATTCAACTCCCCACCAAGCCCACATGTTGTGTTGTCCTTAAGCAAGACACCCAACCCCATCTGTCCCTCCTCCACCTTCACATCAGCAGATCATTGCATATTGTGCTTCATTTCTGGATTACAATTGTCTCATTCCTGAATGTCCCAGAATCCTTCATCTCCCCTTGTGTTTTCCCCATTGTGTAAGTGTTGCTGCCTCGCCAGCCTTTTCATTTATTATTAAAGTATTTTGAGTTACCTTCCGTCTTCTTGTGAGTCTGCACTCTGTGTCCAAGCAACTACACTACCCAACTGTACACGCTGTAATTTGTGTTCATTTTTATTTCAATGTTGTACATGCTCATTTAGGTTTAAATCTTTCTAGAGATCCCTAAATGGAAAGAGGTCTTGGCCTTGAATGGGACATTTCAGGACAGGAAAAAAAAAAGATTTTTGGGTGTAGTAACATTTATTTAATTATTCTTTTAAACTAAAAATATATATATATATATCAAAATTTCTAAACTACTAGAATTTACTAAATAAACAATACACATGATATTATATATCATTTTTATTTCAATGTTGTACATGCTCATTTA